AGAATTACTCCATGTGAAGTGTGCCGTCGAGATCTCAACCCCACAGCATTTGTGGAAAATGTTCCCAACCCTCTGAAACGCTTCGTATTTCGAGACCCTTCACGGAAGACTCGATCTGGAGAGCCTTCACTAATTGAATAAATTGGAAGAAGTGGATACCGACGCCTAATTCTGAATTACTGCGCTCGCCGCTTTTGTAATTAAAAAATTAAACAATTTCCATTTAGCCACACTTAACGCTGCTTATGATTATAAAACGCATCGGCTTAGAGAAAGCCCAGATAATGAGCTCTGCTCCTTTAATACCCACAGCCCTCCTGACCCCGTACATTTTGCACAAGTTGATCAATAATTGGAATCTTTCAACCCTTTCCAGCGACGGAGTAAAATAACGAATATATATTCATGACTGCACGAACAGGGGATCGCGGCGGGGCTTCTGCATGAATTTAGATCGTTATCGAAGTCCTCGCCTCGCTCAAGAGCCGTTTTACTGCAAAAAGCGGGCTGTGGATTTGAGGAAGGGCTTTGCCACGGAGAGGGTATTCACCACCTACATCCGGCTGGTTATCATAACCAATAACTAATAATAATAATAATAATAATAATAATAATAATAATAATAATAATAATAATAACAATAATAATAATAACAATAACAGTAACAATAATAATAACAATAATAATAACAATAATAATAACAATAATAATAATAACAATAACAATAATAATAACATAATTGACTAGGCTTACGGAAAAGAATTATAGTCAACATAGCTATCCCTTTAGACCGAAATATAGTTGCCTCTGTTGCCGAGAAGAAGCGTAAATATCAGGCCTTGTCTATTGAACTGAGCGAGATGTGGCGGTTAGTATCTGTTGAAGTAGTCCCTGTGATCATCTCCGCAAATGGACTGATCTCCGAATAACTAATTTCATCGTCTGCTAGTCTTGGCCTTAAGAACTATCACATACAAACAATGCAAAAGGCTGTTCTCCTGAGTACTGCATGCATTGTGAGGAAGTTTTAATTGATATAACCGACCGTCCGAGTTTGCAAGCGAAGCAGGCACCTCGGTTCTAAGGTCCCGGTGCCTGCTGTAGAAACCTCGCTAAGCGAGAGGCTTGAAGAAATAATAATAATAATAATAATAATAATAATAATAATAATAATAATAATAATAATAATAATACCTAACTCAACCTGTGCAGCACCTGTAACGTGGAGGGGGGATATGTTCTGCTACTGACAACCTCAAGAAAAGAAGCCGGACCGATTTGATGACAACCACAGTATACGAAAAAGGTTAAAGCACATGGGAATAACAAATGTTCTAAATGTAGCAACATGGAATGGTCGCGGCATATAGAATAAAGAAATATAACTACTAAAGACATTTGAAGGATGAAAAACCAACATTGCAACAGAAACAAAAAAGAAAACAAGAGAGATTGATGACTGGGTAAATATCTGCAGTGGAGCAGAACAGCGAGAGAGAGCAAAAGCTGGTGCAGCTATGTGTGTGGATAAGAAATGGAAGAAGTGTATTACGAGTTACACATACATAAAAAATACTAAGGGTAGATTTTAAATTGAGTAGAGGTAATATTACAGTTATGGGGAGGTTTATGCCCCGAGGAAGGTAAGAAATAAGCAACCGTAAAGGTTTATGAAAAGTTGCAGACAGCGGTAAACAATTGCAACCCAAATAACTGACTAATTATACCTCGAGATGTAAATGCGAGAGTGGGAAACAAGATTATTCTCAATGTTATAGGACTGTATGGAGAACAATTAATGAATGAAAATGGAAGAGTACTTACAGATTTTGTAACATATAATGAACTAACAATCACCAATACATTTTTAGAAAAAAGAACATTCATAAATATACTTTGATTGCTCGAGGACAACACTCAATGGTAGATTATGTAATAGTCAAGAAAAATTAAGTTCAGACGTAAAGGATACCCGCATTTTAAGAAGATATGACATTTATTCCGATCACTATCTAGTAGAAAGAAAACTAAATATAAGAACAAGATGGAAGAAACGAACTGCCTCAAAAAATAAACAAGGTGTAGGGAGTAAAGTGTTTCTACTAGAAAACGTTAGTATAAGGGAGTTATTTCAGAGATGGTTGAATAAGTTTTTGAGAAACATCGCCACATCAGAATATCTCAATGATGAATGGAGAAACATTATAGAATTATTTAGATGAGCACCATATGAGGCATAGGCACTCGAAAAATGAGGCGATAAATGAAAACTGTGAAAATATGCAATAATAGGGTTGCAAAGGCAGTGCAGGAAAAAAAAGGTAGCGTACCTGTGTTATCTACAAAGCACAAATGAGTAGACTAAACAGATCTACTACCAAAACAGGAATAAAGCTTAACTATTAGCGAGACAAGCCCATCAAGAATATTGAGACAGCTATGTGAATATGTTAGAACATGATGTATTCGGAAGACAAAGCCGAGCCTATAAAGTGTTAAAAAAATTAATTTAGAAGAAACAGGTACGGTAAGATTGAACATAATTTCCGGGAAAGAGTGGTTGGACTACTTTGTAAAATTATGGAGTGGGATTCAAGAAATTTATACGCCAGATGAAGAAAAGTAATAAAAAGAAATGTAAATTTGTTACATATGAAAGAGCTTGACAGTGCGTTAAAATCCCCCCCAAAACCGGAAAGCCTGTGGTCCTTATGGGATTAACGTAGAATTAATGCAATATGTAGGTATGTTACTGAAATTTCGACTGCTCCATGTAATGAATGAATGCTGGCAAAGATATGCAATACCAGATGAATAATTAGATTCGTTAATTACTCCATGTTTTAAAAACGGAGATCAATGTAAATGCCACAACTATGGGGGTATTTGTCTACTTAACTCATGTTGCAATCTATACGCAAAAACTGTGAATAACGGAATAGATACCTTAAGAACAACAGGGGTTTGAAAAAGATCATTCAACAATGAGATGTAGATGACACATTTACATTACAACAAATAATTGAGAAACGAGTGGAGTTTAATAGAAAAATATTCTAGCCTTCGTGGATATTGAAAAGGCTTTTGATAGTGTCAACCGATGTAAATTATGGAGCGTTATAAAAGAAGAAAGATACCCAAGTCATCTAGTGCAAATGGTGAAAAGTAAGTATAATAATACTAATATCGCAGTGAAATCTAATCTCCGGGAAGAGGATTATAAATAAAGGAGTAAGGCAGGGAGACAGTCTTTAGCAAAACTCTTTAACATATATCCGGGAAAAATAATTAAAAGGTGGAAGAACGTGGTGCCCTCAGGAATTAAGCTAGGAATAAACACATTTTTAAATACTCTTTGATATACTGACGACCTGGTGATTCTGCAGGAAAACGATATTGCACTTCTCCCCTTAATCCTTAATACGCCAATCAGTATTTAATTGTTTTTGATGTTAGGAAATTAATAAGTACATATATATATATATATATATATA